CTCTCTGGCGAAGCCCCGGAGCTCCCTGACCAAGCACGTCGAGTCGTCGGTGGCGACCTGGGCTGCTGGCAAAAACAGGATGCGAGGACACAGGAGAGGAATCCTCTCCTCTGTCCTCTTGGCTTCTTTCCATCCTCTCCGAGAGGATGGATGGGGCAGAAGCCAAGTCGACTGGGCGAGCCGACGAGTCCGAGTCCAAGACCAGACGACGGCGAGTCAACCGTCGAGACGACCGACGAGACGACGGTCGAGTCGAGACGATGGACGAGTCGGACGAGGCGACGGACGGACGAGACGACGGCGACGAATCGTTCAGACGCCGACCGAGTATCGTCAGTATCGTCTCGTCGAGTCCGACGACGACGAGTCGGTCCGAGTCCGACGCGGGCCCGAGACGACGAGACGTGCCCACGGAAACACGAGGTCACGAGTCGTATGGCACCGAGGCACCGAAGGTGCAGTCAAGATCTATCATAAGGACGGGGGGGTGCCCTTGGAGGCTGGAGGAGGAAGGGGAGGGGGAGGAGGGAGGCCGGGGAGGAGGAGGAGGAGGAGGAGGAGTCGAGGAGGGACGAGGAGGAGGAGGAGGAGGGGGGGACCTACTACCTCCTAGAAAGTCCATCGGAGGACTTACTACCTCCTAGACAATCCATCGGATGACGTTCCGGGACGAAGAGGCAGGGGAGGAAGATGTGGAGGGGGAAGATGAGGAAGAGGAGGACGAGGAGGAGAAATCATTTGTCGGTCCGCCCTCTGAGTCTCTGGTCTGGTCTTTCCTGACGAAGATGGCGAGGAGGCACATCGGGATGACCGCCAGAAGGCAGGAGGATGAGGAGGAGGAGCAGGAGCAGGATCAGGAGACGGACACGGAGGAGGAGGAGGGAGGAGGAGAGGAGGAGGAGGAGGAGGATCAGGAGGAGGACGAGGAGGATAGCGAGGGGGGGCCCTGAGGGGCCTGAGGGGATCTGTAGTTGGCTTGGCCCCTGGGCCCGGGGGGCCCAAGGGCCAAGGGCCCAAGGGCCCAGGGTGGCCCGTCACGGGCCTGTTGGATGCTCGTTCTGGGGACATTCCTGGGATTCCTAGAGCCTAGAGCTACTCGCTCCACTCGTGCGTCGAAGCTGCGTCGACCGTCAGTCGAGTTGGGTCGACCCTGAGTCGAACCTGAGTCGAACCTGAGTCGAACTTGAGTCGGACGTGAGTCGAACTTGAGTCGAACTGGGGTTGAACAGATCCGTTGGTCCGATAGGTGGGCTCAAGGAAGGTCCCCGAAACGAGCATCGAAGGCCTGATTCAAGAGCTCGATGGGGGGATGGCAGCGTTCGTCTGCGCCCCAGCGCGCCCTGCCCGGGCCGCGCGCAAGCTGGTCCAGCAAGTGCAGCGTGTAGTCCACGCGCATGCCGAAGAACTTATCCAGCGAGGCCCCATCCGACAATATCCCGCTCGTTAACTCCTCAATCGGAACATCTGGACACTCGCTCCGGGCCCGCAAGACGGCCGCGCCCCATGAAGCCCAGCGCTCAGGAAAAATCTCGAAGAGCTTCGGCTGAATAGCAGACAGCACGGCGCTCATGGGGATATGGTGGGACTGGTGGGAGGTGCCGTTGAATCGGGGCCGAAGGGAGGCCAGCGCCGACTGCCCGCACGCGAAGAAGTCGGCGTGCAGCTGCGTCCCCACGGACTGCCCCTGCCTCTCCTTTTTTGGCGGGGTGGGCGGTGGAGCTGGAGGAAGGAGGCAGCGGCGGAGGAGAGGAGGGCCAGCGGCCAGAGGCAGGAGGGGGCACAGAGAGCGAGAGCGAGAGGAGCGAGAGGGAGGGGAGACAGTCAGACACGGGGCGGGAGAGAGGGAGAGAGAGCGAGAGAGAGAGAGAGAGAGGGAGAGAGAGAGAGAGAGAGAGAGCGTGAGCGAGAGAGAGAGAGAGAGAGAGAGAGAGAGAGAGAGAGCCTCAGAGAAAGCGAGAGGGAGAGAGAGAGAGAGAGTGAGAGAGCGGGAAAGCGACAGGGGTGATAGATAGAGAGGCGGGATTCAGGCATTAAGATCCTTCGTCGCCATGGCCGCCATGAACGCGGCGCCCCTCGAGAGTGCGTCCAGGTACGGCGGCAAGCGAACAGACATTGAATCGGCACCGTCGGCTGCAGCCCAGCCAGACTCGGTCCTATCATCAACGAGGCGCCCTACGACGGCGTCGGCGAGCATGTCAGGGGCCACGGCGTCAGCGTCCGCGATGCCGGGGACGCGGACGTCCAACGCCTCGGCGAGGCGCACGACGTGCCCACGTATAGACTCCTTGCGGAGTTCCTTGCGGACGGCCGACCACTTGTCCCAAGTCTTGCCGTTGATGTTGGCCGACCCTGTAAGCATGAAGAGCAGCCCCTGGCGAAAACACCGCCCGACCACCTGCCAGTCGATGTGCTCCGGCGCCAGCTCTCCCAGCGGGCCAGCCACCACAACGAAAATGAGGTCGTCCAAGAACACCTTGTTGCGTCCAGAGGCGTCTGCCGTGGCGCCGCCCTCCACCTGGGCGGCGATCAAGTCCTTGAGCTTGGCGTCGGCTGACGCCGCGGCCTTGGTGGCCTTCTTCCGCTTCTTCTTGGCGGGCTCGTCAGTCGTCGCCCCAGCCTGCTTCAACCACACCTTGGACGAGCTGATGGGGGCGTTGAGGCGCTTGACCAGCGCCGGTCCGTTCGAGCGGCTGCCGAGCAGAAACGGATGCGCATCAGCCATGGCCTTATCGAAGAACGGGTCCGTGGGGAAGCCGAAATGCACCAGCTCCTTGAGGACCGCCGAGAGGATATCGTTGTTGTACAGGTCGCTGAAGCACTTGGCGAATACCGTCGTCTTGATCGCGTTGTTGACGCTCAGAAGGTAGTTGACGTCCAGCAGGGGGTCCATGAAGTTGCACGCGGCCTCGCACAAGCTCTTGTACCACTGGTCCAGCTTCAGGGCTTCCATCTTGTGCCAGAACGCTTTGGCATTGTCGTACGGCTCCCACTCCGGGAACGTGTTCTTGAACTTCGTCTTGACGAACTCGGCGTAGAGCGCAGCGTAGCTGAACGGCCCGCGCTTGGGGCATGCCTGCACAGAGAGGCTCTTGAGGTCCACCTCGACCTTCCACGCGGCCTCCACGCTCTGCGTTGCGATCTCGTACTTCTCGATGTGGGTCTGCCCGCATCCGAGGTGATAGTTGTTGTGCACCTCCTTGATGAGCTGCAACACGTCCACGGGGGTGTCGAGCTTGACGATGGCGCAGTCCTGGTAGCCGTCCTCGATGCCAGCGGCCACGTGCTCGTTCTGTGGGTCCGCCGCGAATGCTTCGTAGAAGGCCTCCATCAGAGTGGCCCCAGCGAGCAGCTCGTACTCCCCAGGCCGATCTGTCGCCATGGCGATGGGGTTGCCGCGCACGAGGGCGGTGATGCCACCCCTGAGAATGCCACGAGCGTACTGCCTCACATTGGCCTGGACGCTGCGGTTGTTGTGCTCGGAGCGGGACATGAGCTGCTTATTCCCCTCTCCGAACCACGGGAGCGTCACGCCCTTGGACTGGATGTGCAGCTTCATTATCACGCGCCAACGCTTGCTCCCGTGGACATCGAAGAACCTGTCCTCGACCGTCTGCCCAGGTTTCAAAGGTTGCCAGAAACGCTCGTCGTGGGTGTCCGCGAGCGCCATCGCGCCGGGCAGCGCAGGCGGCGCTGGCGCAGCAACAAGCGCCATGATCGTCGCGGCCAGCGGCGATGCGATACTACCCGACAGGTTGCTGGTCGCTCCGTTCTCCACTGGGGGAGTGAGAGGCTCACAGAGAGAGGGCTGGGCCAAAACGGCTGAAGGCAGCAGCAGCAGCAGCGGCAGCGACGAGGACAGATCGTCTGGGGCTTGTCGCAGCCCCATGGATCGCGGCCTCCGAGGGGCCGAGGGGGGTCCGGCTTTAAGTGCCCCCCCCCGCCCCCAGTGGACCTCGGCGAGAGGCGAGAGGTCCCAGGCGGCCTCAGGTCTGCGAAGGGTGTGCCCACAGCGGCTATCGCATGCTACACTGCACTCGGGGCACTCGGGGCACTCGGGGCACTCGGGCAACTGAGCAGAACGCAGGCCCCATCCGAAGACCTGTGACCTCAGGTGACCTCAGGACCTCAAGAAGCGCCCAAGAAGCCCCAAGGTGTAAGGAGCCCCCGAGAGGCCCCCGAGAGGCCCCAAGGGGCCCCCAAGAAGCCCTCAAGAGGCTCCAAAGCGGGCCAAAGAGGCCCCCAAGACGGCCCCGAGAGCGGCCCAGGAGGCCACCAGGAGAAGCCCAAGAGTAACGCACGGCCATGCAGTACGTCGTGCCTCCTACGTGGGGCCTCAGTCTGCCTCAGTCGAGTCTTCCCGGGCCCTCTTGGGGCGCTGTCGGAGCAATCGGTGGCGCAGGACAGGCCGTCAGGCCGTCAGGCCTTCGCAATATGATCGATTTCGCGTGGCTGTGTAACCAGGACGCGGCCAGCTGGCCAGGCCGCGGGACCAGGAGGCCACATCGACTAACCTCCCCTCCTCCTCCGCATCCTCCTCACCTCATCCTCCTCATCCCCCTCCTCCTCCTCCTCCTCCTCCTCCTCCTCACCTCGTCCCCCGCCCCATCCTCATTATCATTTTACGCCTCCTCCTCCTCCTCGCCCCCCTCCTCCTCTCCTCCTCCTCCCCCTGTCCTCGCCCTCCTCTGGTGCCGCCGTCTCAAGCATGCATCGTGAGCCGAGGTCCGCCCGGTGGGGGGCGCTCCCTGCCCCCTGCTGTCCGCGGACATCTTTCGCACCAGAACAAAAAAGCAACGTCAGACGTCGTCCAAGCGCATTGCCAGACCAGCACATGCGAATCATCCGCCACCCGCGGACGTGACGAACTCGGACTCGCGTGTTACACGCGTGTGAGCCGTGTGAGCACTGTGAGCACCAAGTCATATAAAGCTAAAGGCACACGTTACGTTCTGTACAGGTGTGTGCGCTGTGCGACCATGTTCTGACTGTACTATCATCACCTAGTCCTCTGACAGACGCTTCCTCAGCTTACGGTACGTGGATTCCAACTGACCCATGTCCGAACGCCTGACAATCTCACAAAGCGCTCGCAGGCTGGCGATCCAAAGAAATGGAGGACCGACCATGCAGAGGGGCAGGCCGTTCCCGACCTGTCCTCTCACCTGGTGCACTGACCGCCCATCCAACACAGTTCCGTGGGCGAAACTACAAGACAAACCGAAAAAAGAAAGATCAGGCCGCAGAGGATAATTGTGGACTGTCAGGAGCTCTGCTGCAGTGAGCCAGCGCGCGTGGGCGGTGCTGTAGTAGAACTCAGAGTGCTTGATGATGGTGAAGAGCAGGCCACTGCCCCAGGTGCAGTGCGAATGTACACCTGGCGTCTGACCGAGCGCAGCAACGCACTCCGCATCAGGGGCACCCGTCTTTGTCATTGCGGCGTACGTATCTCTGATCCGGAGCTCAGCGACCAGAAGAGCTGCATCTGCGTCGCTCCGGACAAGGCGAGCCTTCTCTGCCTGAGTGGCGGGGTCGTTCGCCTCGGACAGCACGCTCCTGGAAGCTTGAAGCGTCTGGCGAACATGCCCCGACAGCGCCTCCCTGCGGGCGCGAAGCGACGGCGATGACGGGGCGACCGAAGCGAGCGGAGCGACGTCGAGGCGAGGGGGTCGAGTGGAGGACGAGGGCGGGCCGACGCGAGGGCAGGGGCTCAGGCGGAGCCCGAGGGGGGAGACGCGCCGCGGCATGTTCACAGACCGCATCCTGCGACCAGCGGCAGCTGCTATCTCGCGGAGAAGGTCAGCGTCATCGTCGGCAGCCCAGAAATACTCTCGCCACGTAAACCCGCACACCCGCCGACACTGCTGCTCCAACTCGGAAAAGAAAGGGCGGCACGGACCGCGCATCAGCAAGACGACCCGCTTATGGATGAACATGGAGACCCTCCGGCTCCTGCGATATGCTTGACCGTGGTCGGCTGCGCAAATGACGCAGGAATTCTCGGGCAGGCACGCGTACTTGGACTCCAGCTCCACCCGCAGGAGGTCCCACGGGAACTCGGGAACGTTCTCGTGGCCGATGAAGTCGTCCTCAATGAGGAGGCGCTGGCCCACCCAACACGACCAGGGTAGCACGCGAGCACCTGAGGCTCCGTCGTGGGCTCCTTGCGAGCTCCATGCCACGCACTCCGTGCCTCCGAAGTGCGCAGTCGCGCGAGGCAGCGGACACTCCTTCCCATGGACGACGCACATCATTGTACGAGACATGATGTTGGGGTTGTTCCTGAACATACTGGACAACCGATCGTATGGCATCCTGTAGGCATTGTTGATCAGGTCACGCCGAACTTTCGGGTTAATGCCAGACGTAATGTCTCCGAACACGCAGCGCGGCGGATGGGGGAGCGCCAGGAGCTCACGCTGGGACGGTCGGAAATATTCCAAGGCATACAATGTGGTTGGCTTGTGCGTCTGATCTGGGTTGGCACTGAAATGGCGAATACACTTGAACATGCCACACATTGCCAGCTCGGCACCCCCTGTGCCCGAGAATGCAGTACTCAGTGTGATCTCATCGATCACGCTATCCAAAGCGTCCACATTGAACGAGGGGGTCTGCTTCTGCATATACTCAAGCACACATGCCAGCTGATGTTCCTGCCAACGGTTCGCATCCTCTAGTGAAGTGCACGTCGGGATTGCGTGTGGAACTGCCATGGCTTGAGCCAACTAATGAAGGAAATATATAGGGATCGTATCATCACACAATGTTGGACATAGTGTGACGTTGTTTTATCTAGATGTGGTGATCACGCTCTAGGTTTACAAACACAAGCGTGATATCATGTAATATGCACAGCCATGGGGTGCATATGTTGGTAGTTCGTCTGCGTATACTATTACATGGTGCGTGGTCTCACAGCGACGTGCGTTAACATAACGTGGTTGAAATAACGATGTACACACATGGTAATTATCTAGGATGGCACTGGTACGTCGATAGCGGGTGGGGACTACCAACGTAATGGCATGGAACTATCTGGGCATAGAAAACATGGAACCTGGGAAGAAAGGACAAGGGACATATGATGCATAACGTTCGATAATGTTGGTACAGTAGCTGGATACATATACATATATACACGGCCAGGTTCGTCGGGACTCGGCCCCGATATCACCTAGATTACACACGCCGTCGGGAGCAGGTCATGACATGAGTGACCTCGTCGGGACCAATACCCGACAACCACATGGTACGTACTCATCGGGAGCATGACCTGACAGACATGATCAGTCGGGACTCGGCCCCGAAGAGCACCCAATAGAGACAGGTGCCCATCGGGGGTAGGTCTCGACTGGCAAGGTCCCATCGGGAGGCGGCCTCGACGAGCCCATAAGACAACGGCACATCGAGAGGTGGTCCTGACGAGCATGGTCCGCGTCGGGACCTGGTCCCGACGGGGCGCGATCCAGCGGGGCGGTGACAGGCGTCGGGACGGGGCCCCGACGGACATGGGCGGGCCTGTCGAGACTCGGTCCCGACGTGACGTGGAGGGCCTGCCCCATCAGGATCAGGTCCTGACTGAAATGGTCGCGTCGGGACTCGATCCCGACAGACCCTAGATGGCATGACCCGTCGGGATCAGGTCCTGACATGATGGTCCCGTGGGGGTTCAGACCCGACGGCCCCATCAGGGCCGCGTCATCGGGGGCATGTCCTGACAGACGTGGCACGTCGGGACTCGGTCCCGACGGGTGCCCATCGGGGGCAGGTCCTGACGGACCGTGGGGGGCATGCCCCGTCAGGAGCAGGTCCTGACGGACACGGTCACGTCGCGACTCGATCCCGACACACCCTATATGACATGTCCTGTCGGGAGCAGGTCATGTCGTGAGTGGCATCGTCGGGGCGAAGACCCGACGGTCACATGAGGGTCGACTCGTCAGGAGCATGTGCTGACGGACGTGGCCCGTCGGGACTCGGCCCCGAACAACACCGTGGAGACCGATGCTCGTCGGGGGCAGGTCCCGACGGGGCATGGAGGGCATGACCCATCAGGATCAAGTCCTGACTGACATGGTCGCGTCGGGACTCGGCCCCGACAAACCCCAGCTGACATGACCCGGTGGGCACAGGCACTGACATGAGCGATCTCGTCGGGGCGAAGACCCGACGGTCCCACGAGGGTAGACTCATCGGGAGCATGTCCCGACGGACGTGTCCCGTCGGGGCTCGGTCCCGAGCGGCGCCCATGGATGCCGAGGTTCATCGGGGCCAAGTCCCGACAGACATGGCGCTATCTGGGGGCTGGCCTGACAGACCCCACCGACACTGGCGCATCGAGAGATGGTCCCGACAAGCAGGGCACATATCGGGACCTGGCCCCGACGGGGCCCCATGCGTCAGGGTGGCGCCGCGATGAACACATGTCAAAATGGGTGGGCGCTGGTACGGGACCCCGACAAACATGGCTGGACACGTCGGGGAGAGGGCGACGCGGGGTGCGATGGGGGAGGGCGAGGAGGAAGAGGATGAGGGCGCTGACGACGAGGGTGAGTAGGAGGAAGAGAAGGATGCGGAGGAGGAGGACGACGACGGTGATGAGGAGGGCGCCGGGGACGAGGGCGACGATGCCGACGACGACAAGGGCGAGGAGGCCCGCGGGCCCCCCCCGCGGGCTGCCGCGCCGCCTGCCAGGAGCTGGTCGGGCGAGGGTGGCTCGTCGACGCGGTGATGCACGCCGCGAAGGTCGCGACGGCAACAGGCGGGCGGGCGGTGGCCGCGGGCGCGGGGAGAGGGGGGGGGAAAGAGGAGGAGGAGGAGGAGGAGGAGGAGAACTTAGGATTTCCTTGCAGATCTCTCTGGTGACTTACTACCTCCTAGAACGTTCCTCGGATGACTGTCTGGGGCGAGGAGAAAGAGGAGGAGGGCGACGGAGGGGGGGGGTGAGGAGGCGAAGGAGAAGAAGGAGGACGACGACGACGAGGACGAGGAAGAGCGGTGGTGATGATGCTGGCGTACCCTGTTACCCCTCAATGGGGTTATCGTGGTTGAGTGGCCCCGAGTAGCCTATGTCACTTGTCGGTCCGCCCTCTGAGCCACTGGTCGTCCCTGATGATGGCGACGACGAGGAGGAGGAGGTGGATGAGGAGGAGGAGGAGGAGGAGGAGGAGGAGGAGGAGGAGGAGGAGGAGGGTCAGGATGGGGAGGAGGAGGAGGCGGGCACGGAGATACGGGGGACCGCGAGGACGATCGACAGGGAATGCGCATATCAGGCAGGCCAGGACGCAAGACCGTTGGAAGTGGTAGCCTCCTGATGCTGATCAGAGCGCACAGCCAAGAACGAACCGCAGGGGTAAGGACGCAATGTTAACCTCGACTGCGTTGCTCGTCCGCACTGTGAACTATGACTGCAAGCGTGTAGGCGAAGGAGCGGGCGAGCGGGGCTGGCCGGAAGGTTTGACGATTGAGCACGTGAGTGGGAGGGGGGGACGAGTACGAGGATCTGAGGGTGCGGAGGTGGAGAGGAGGAGTGGTGTGCTCAGTGTGCTCTGCCCAGACTGCATCGCTCAATATCATATCCCACGGCGAGCAGCGCAAGGGCTGTGAGCCTCGAGTCCTCGAGCGCTCCAGCCCGCCAGATCACTCGGGCGGCGGGAGCGCCCGCCTGCGCAAATTACAGGCCGGGACGCGCACGGTCGCCGGCACAGTTACCTCATTGCCAGCGGCAGCATCACCGGCCAATCCAGACTTGATTGCCGACAGCGCAGAGTGAGCCGCGGCGCCCAACGCGACGCCGGCGCTACACTCGTCGTGCCACGCTAAGCCACATATCGGGCACGTGTACGCACCTGCGTGGAGCGAGCACACAACACAAGGGCTGTCAGCCGGCACGTCTCGTGCCAAGCCGAGCTGAAACATGCGGCGCAGGTGCGTCGCGCTCGCCGGCGCTGGCATGCGGTCAGCTCGCGCGCGCACCATGCGCGCGCCAACGTTGGGGTGGACGACGCCAGCGGTCACAAACGACTCCTCGTGGAACGTAACGTGACCGTCGGCCTCGCCCTCATGACGCACCATCGCAAAAATCAGTTTGTGCGTCGCCTCGTCAACTCGACATCTGATCCCACGGCGACGCTCACTATCGTGCCAGTGGACGAACCATACTGCTGGAACGCCGTCGACATTGCATAGCATCAGGGAGGTGTTGCAGTCCCGCCTTAGGGGCTTAGGGGTGCGCTAGGAACAGCAATATATCCCGTCCTCCTAGTCCCCCTCCTCCTCCCCCCCCCCCGTCTCCTCCTCATATGGCTATTAGTCGTCCTCTCCCCAACCCTGCTCCTCCCCCTCCTCCTCGGACTCCTCGCCCTCCTCCTCCTCGTCCTCCTCCTCTTCCTCCTCCTCCTCCTCCTCCTCCCCCTCCTCCTCCTCCTCCTCCTCCTCCTCCTCCTCCTCCTCCTACGCCTACTCCTCCTCCTCCTCGCCCTCCCGCTTTTCCTCTTCGTCCCAAAGCTGGCGCAGAGATCGCGCAGGTGATGGCCGCTAGGGCCTCTGGCCATCGCGGGCCTGTCTCGGGGCCCACGCGGGCCCGCGCACGTCCTAATGTAGCTTCTGATAGGCCCCCATGCGACCCCAATATGGCCCCGCGAACGGCCCGCGATGTCTTGGGCCCGCCGTGGGGCCCGCACGTCACCCCCCCGCCCAGTCACCCCGCGTCGCCTGTCCGATGAGCCGCCCAAGGGTTCCCCAGCAATGCGGCGATCCACGGCCGCGGACCGGTCCCTCAGCGCGCCCATGGACAGCTCGAAGCCCGCGGTCCACGCCGCGACCACGTGCTCGCTCGCGTCGACCACCTCGGGGGCCCCGGCGGAGTCGTCAGCGCCCGAACTCCCCGAGCTCGCCGAGGCTGGGTCTCCTGGGAGAGGGGGGGGATCGAGAGAGGAGGGCGGGGGGGGAGGAGGAGGAGGCGGAGGAGGAGGTGGAGGAGGAGGACGACGACGAGGAGGAGGACGAGGAGGAGGACGAGGAGAAAGAGTAGGACGAGGAGGAGGATGAGGAGGAGGAGAAGGGAGAGGCTCGGAGAGGAGAGAGGAGCAGGAGGGAGGAGGAGGAGGCAGGAAAGGCAACCGACCCGGGGATGTGGTCGGGCGGACCGACTGTCGACATGAGACATGCCCTGCAATGCGAGTGGCAGTAGCAGCAGTAGAAGTAGCAGCGGCAGTGGCATCAGCGGCAGCAGCCGCAGCGACGTTGCCGAGAGCGTCGGGGCCCGAGCCCGCGCAGACACGAGAACCCAGAGTCGACAAGCGCCCAGCGCCGCGGCGCAGGTGGGGAGGGCGAGGCAGCGGTGCGAGGCGGAGGAGGAGCAGGAGAGGATGGAGAAAGCAGAGAGGATGGGGTTTGACCCTCGAAGCGGAAGATCAGGAGGGCGAGGCAAGATAGAGAGGAGAGAGGAGAGGAGGAGGCGCGCACAGCTACAGCTACAGCCGAAACCCATCATAAGGACTCCTAAGCAAGGCCCTTGGCGGCCGGAGGAGGAGGAGCCACCTGAGGAGGAGGAGGAGGAGGAGGAGGAGGAGGAGGAGGAGGAGGAGGAGGGAGGAGAGGGAGGAGGAGGAGGAGGGAGTGA